TGGTGTTGTTTGGTCAATCAAGTGATGTTGGTATTGTTTGGTCAATCAAGTGATGCTGGTGTTGTTGTATGGTCAATCAAGTGATGCTGGTGTTGTTTGGTCAATCAAGTGATGCTGGTGTTGTTGTATGGTCAATCAAGTGATGTTGGTATTGTTTGGTCAATCAAGTGATGCTGGTGTTGTTGTATGGTCAATCAAGTGATGCTGGTGTTGTATGGTCAATCAAGTGATGCTGCTGGTGGTGTATGGTCAATCAAGTGATGCTGGTGTTGTTTGGTCAATCAAGTGATGTTGGTATTGTTTGGTCAATCAAGTGATGCTGTTGTTGTATGGTCAATCAAGTGATGCTGGTGTTGTTGTATGGTCAATCAAGTGATGCTGGTGTTGTTTGGTCAATCAAGTGATGCTGGTGTTGTTTGGTCCACATCATGAAATGTTACAGCAGCTGCCATAGAGAGCCGCCTAGAAAACCAACTAGAGTGGTCTATGAGAAGAATATGCAATAAACAGCTTGAAAATCAATCCGGACACAAGTCTCATGTTTGACAACATCATCAAGATTCCAGCTACAAATACGTGAAAAAAACTTGACAGTCAGCTATCTGTCTAAGCCCTATTTGACAACCTGCACCAAAAAATGCCTAAAAGCATTTGAAACCGTGACGACAAAAGCTTTACAGGCCCCAAGTGATCTTTGGTTTACTTGTGGAACAAAATTGAAAGCACTTTGGAAGCAGCTGCGTTTTCACTAAACAGCCAAGTTAAAACTCTTCATTACTGAAAATAGAACAATAAAAGCAACAGTTAATTACATTCAACTGAAACAAGACGATAATTCACTGTCGGTTATGATCCCCAAAATATTGTCTCAAAAAAATATGGAACTTGAAAAGATAAAAAAAGGGAAAAAATCAAAAACATGATTCGACAGTAACAGCTAATTGTTTGTACAGTTGTGGCCTTGTACTCTGGTTGCTCGTAGAGTCAATATGACCCCTCTGGGGATCATTATGTATGCATGAATATCGTGACTTGATGTTGCAAATATGGTGATATGATAGCTCAACAAACCAAGGGAGACAACTCTTATTACAAAAACAACCAGTGCTGGGACTTCTTTTTTTTCAACTCTTTTTTCAGAGTAAAACTGTCATTCATCCCAAGAACAGATGTGGAAAACATGTCGCTGGGAAGGAGTTAGTGACATGCGCTTTGAGGTTCTATATCAGATTTCCAAGTTTTTGCAGGGGGGTCTACATGATATTTGATATATATAGCATTAATTACTTATCCCAGTGCAAGGATATCAGTCATTAGTGAAAAGGAAATCCAAACATAGCCATCTAAAAATAGTTTTATAACAAAGATTGTGAAATAATCCATCATTCAAGAATAGGTCCATCTGAAAAAGGCTCTTCTGCAGTGTCTGACATGTTTCTTTAGCTGAGATATTGCAGTAAAGAGCTTGGGGACATTCTGTTCTATCAAAATAACTGGTCCCAAACATTGGTCCCCAATAAGGGTCCTCCAACACTTCCCAACAATGGTCTCCAACAATGGTCCCAATCCATGCTCCCAAACAATAGTCCCCAACAATTGACCCAATCCATGATCCCAAATAATAGTCTCCATCAATAGTCCCCAACAATGGTCCCAATCCATGATACCCAACAATAGTCTCCATCAATGGTCCCCAACAATAGTCTCCAACAATGGTCCCAATCCATGATCACAAACAATAGTCCCGAAAAATGGTCCCAATCCATCATCCCAAATAATAGTCTCCATCAATAGTCCCCAACAATGGTCCCAATCCATGATACCCAACAATGGTCCCAATCCATGATACCCAACAATAGTCCCCAACAATGGTCCCAATCCATGATACCCAACAACAGTTGCCATCAATGGTCTCCAACAATGGTCCCAATCCATGATACCCAACAATAGTCCCCAACAATGGTCTCCAACAATGGTCCCAATCCATGATACCCAACAATAGTCCCCAACAATGGTCTCCAACAATGGTCTCAATCCATGATACCCAACCCAACAATAGTCCCCAACAATGGTCCCAATCCATGATACCCAACAATAGTCCCAACAATGGTCTCCAACAATGGTCCCAATCCATGATACCCAACAATAGTCCCCAACAATGGTCCCAATCCATGATACCCAACAATAGTCCCCAACAATGGTCTCCAACAATGGTCCCAATCCATGATCACCAACAACAGTTGCCATCAATGGTCTCCAACAATGGTCCCAATCCATGATACCCAACAATAGTCCCCAACAATGGTCCCCAACAATGGTCCCAATCCATGATACCCAACAATAGTCCCCAACAATGGTCTCCAACAATGGTCCCAATCCATGATACCCAACAATAGTCCCCAACAATGGTCCCAATCCATGATACCCAACAATAGTCCCCAACAATGGTCTCCAACAATGGTCCCAATCCATGATCACCAACAACAGTTGCCATCAATGGTCTCCAACAATGGTCCCAATCCATGATACCCAACAATAGTCCCCAACAATGGTCCCCATCAATGGTCCCAATCCATGATACCCAACAATAGTCCCCAACAATAGTCTCCATCAATGGTCCCCAACAATAGTCTCCATCAATGGTCCCCAACAACGGTCTTCACTAATGGTCACCATCAGTGATCTGCAACACTGTCCCCAACAATGATCCCCAATAACAACAGAGTATTACTAGGAGTTAATATCTGTAATATCCTCTTTGCAAAAAAAAGAAAAACTATTTCAGAGGAAAATCAAACCATGTGCTAATTACAATAATACCTCCTAACATTAAAAAAGATGGCTTCAAGTTGGCAACTCCATACTTCCAGTTACATGGCAGGCTTTGTTTTGAACATGTAACACATACAGCATTAGATATTTCATTATGGTAAGTCATTTCAGAAATAATATTGGGATGGCAGACACAGATAATAGGCGAGATATATGGATATTGTCTATACTGTGCTTAAAATGTAAGAATTGGCTTTCACTTTGTGGGAGTTCGCTGACGTATGAAACGTCATTGTAAATCAAAGGGTAGTGTGTGTTACAAACTGGTTAGTTGAAAAATGTTGTAACATGAGATTCAAAGCCTAGAGATATTTCGACATTAAACTGTATATAGATATTCTATCAATACCAGATTAATAACCTTTTTTTTCATCAACATTATCAAGACTTTGGATCAGTAAGTTTTCCTCACATTCCATTCACCTGCGTTCTGTTATCACAGCTGTCATCAGTTACCAACAGTGAGTGAGTGAGTGAGTGAGTGAGTGAGTGAGTGAGTGAGTGAGTGAGTGAGTGAGTGAGTGAGTGAGTGAGTGAGTGAGTGAGTGAGTGAGTGAGTGAGTGAGTGAGTGAGTGAGTGAGTGAGTGAGAGTTGAGTTTTATGCCGCTTTTAGCAATACACCAGCAATATCATGGCGAGGGACATCACAAAAGGGCTTCACACATTGTACCCATGTTGGGAATCGAACCTGGGCCTTCGGCATGACAAATGAATTCTTGAACCACAAGGCTACCCTACCGCACCTAAGTTACCATGAGTGAGTGAGTTTAGTTTTACGCCGTACTCGGCAATATTCCAGCTACATGGCGGTGGGCTGTAAATAATTAAGTTTGGACCAGATAATCCAGTGATCAATAGCATGAGCATCGATCTGCGCAACTGGGAACCGATGACATGTGTCAACCAAGTCAGTGAGCCTGACAAGCCGATCCTCTTAGTCGCCTCTTACCACAAGCATGGGTTACTGAAGATCAATTCTAACCCGGATCTTCACAGGTATTCAGTTACCATGACATCAGAGAAATCAATAGTAATGTCACAGTATTCCAGATCAATGTCTCTCAACTATTAGAGTTCACCGAATGGGTGAGGAACTGGACTGGTATTAATGCCACTCTGAACCAGGTTGAAGTCATATACCCTTTGAACCCAAAGAGATGTTATACCAGTTATATCACAGCAGGTCAACTAAACAAGGAGAAAATCCCAAAATAATGCCTCCTCAGACATTTACCACTTGAGCATTCGATATGCCTGGAAAAATATAATCACTCTGAATCTGGATTTGAATCCATAATCATAGGTGTCTGACATGCCTTAGGGAGATAACTCTAGTAGTTATATAACTGTCCTCGTACACGGCCTCGGTGGATATATTCAACAACAAGGAATCGGTGTCTAAGCTGGCGAGCTCGGCTGTACATCGAATGATGTCTCTACCCGAAAATCACTATTTTATACTAGGCGCTGGGAGCGGAATTACGTAGAAATAAGCCTATAAGAGAAAGTGGTCCAGAACCATCATTATATACCTACTACTCTGCATAGTGAACTGCCAAAAAAGACTGGGCCACCCCTGCCCAACACAGAGCACTCAGGAAAATCACTTTTGACTTTTGTATTTTACAATGTTTTGACATTTGCAAATTCCATACGTTTCAAATGATATTTAAAACAGATGGCAGTTTTAATTTCTTTGTTCCTCTATTTTGCATACCACACTTAACAATATTACAGTGTTGTTTTTGTTTGTTTATTAATGGAGCACTCAGCAATATTCCAGCTATATGGTAGTGGTCTGCAAGCAATCGAGTCTGGACCAGGCAATCCAGTGATCAACAAAACAAGCATCGTTCTATATAAATGTTATAAGCTGACATTGTCAAGGAAGTCAGTGAGAATGACCACCCTTTAGTCACCTCTTACGATACGCATGTGTTGCTGAAGACCAGTTGTAGCCCGGATCTTCACAGGAAGCAGCAATGTGATAGTAGCCTGTAAGTTATCAAGTGTGGAGTCTGGTTTGTCTTGACAATGAAATCCACAAGCATGATGACAGTTTTGTCTCGACATTGGATATCAGTATATTTACAAACACTCAAAGTGACAACTTCAATATTGAAGAGAACTCTTTTTCGAGACAGGACTACTTCCAACAGGTACTTACAAGGGCTTCTGGCAGGATATTTCTGGACCCAGCGTAGAAATACCCTTGAACTATGTATTTTTCTGCTACTGTTGCATACATGGACTGAAATGAAAATACAAAACATAAATCATATGCACACACACACAAACAAATAATTCCTCACAAAAACTATCTCATCAAATAGTATCGTGTTAACACTTCATACATTTATTGATTCAATTCCTTCAAACAGGATTTGACTGTTGTCTGACACTGAACGCCACACTCAGCAATATTCCTGTTGTATGATGATACATTCTCAGAATATGGTCCAGACAATCAAGTGATTGACATTCTTACACAACAGTGGAGAGTGTTGTAAGTTTATTTACCATGTCAGACAATGGCAGAAAGTGACTGAAACACTCATAAAATATACAAAGGTTTGCAAGGTAAAAAGCTGATAATTTGATGCAGAAATAATTTCATAAGAATGGTGAAAGATTCTAATATGCAAATCATATCAAATACAATAAACAATTACACTTAGCTTTCTTTGACAAAATACAAAATATATTGTATTTAATAGTTTTGCCAGAATTTGGTGTCAAATATTGCAATGATTCTGCTGAAATCATAATACTAGCATCTGTGATGATGTACTGGCGACCTTAACTCCTATCCTCACAGGATCGTACTCACATAGAGTTCCTCATTCACGTCATCTTCACCAATATGCAGGAAGAATACGTTGTCAGCGTGTTTACTTTTGGCCTCATTGTACTTCCCAACACTGGCCAACTTCCTCACCGCGGGACTGAAACAGAACAATGAACAACGTGACAAAGTGTTTCCTATTCATATTCTATTCTTGATAGTATATCATGTGTGTGATCATCATCAGTGATAGCTATGTTATCAATGGTAACTTTATTATAAGTGGTAGCAATATAATAATCAGTGTTAGCTATATCATCATCAATATCATATTCTCTTTTCTTTTCATTATTTTGAGACTTAAAATGCATTCAGACTGTACCACTCCAACCACCTGTTGGAGAAGTGAAGATATGAGTTGGTTCCTCAGTTCATGACATAAGACTGGAGTCCATATAAACTGAGCGATTAGTCAGATACATGTCAGATCTTGGACTGTTAGCAGCAGTCTCAAAGTCCCAGAACCTTATTACTTCCCTTCTACCAAGCCCTTACTGTAATCATTCATACCTAAACAAAGCAAGTCTGGATTTTCCACAGGTTCTGAACCTCCCATCTCACTTGCGGTCATTTTCAATTTAAACAGAGTGGTTTCTTTCTACAAAAATTATATATTTTCAAAGGCTCAGCATTCACTTAGCATCACCTCTACAATTTCTTTTTCACTGAAGTAATCACTAACATATTATCACATTCACAACATGAATCTAAACATCACGATACCTCACTGTAACTTCATGTATTTTCATGAGTGTCAATTCCTGAATTTGTCATTTAGATTTTCTTATTGTGATACAAACAAAACAGCACTAAGATTTGATCTGTTTGATGAGAAGTTGGTGGGTAACAATAGAGGCATGATCCTTTATTGATGACAACTTATTTATACTACTATGCAGTGTTTCAGAATAGATTCTTAAAATGTTGTCAAGCTTGACAACGGTATAAGGATCTCTACCCAAATGGCACATTGTAAGACAAAGAAGTTGTCATCCATAAACTAAGATTTATATGTCCTTTAAAACCACCTCACCCTTGTGCCCGTTGAGCAAATTCCATGATATCTTCTTTGGTCCTGTCTCCTCTGTGAGTGTAGACATTACCTCCACTGAAACTTAATTACACATCAGCACTGAGAAACAGCCATACACTCAAAGGATGACTCCTATAAACACATAGACATAAATTTCAGCATGTTTTATTAAGAGACTCTGGTGGGCAAAGAAACATTCACAAAATTACCACAATGCAGCAATCTCATCCTAGATAAAATGAAAAGAGGACAAATAAAAGCACAAGTTGCATAAGTAATTTTTTTAAAAGTTCATCTTTACACATGTGATAACTATCTGGAGACTGCAGCATGAAGTCAAAGGGAGACAACTCCAACAAGCACATAACATCAATGGTTCAGTTGCATCTTTGAGAGGTCATATTAGGAATTATACGATCATCTAACTCCTGTGGTTTAAGGTGAGAAACAAAGAGATTAAGCATCATTTTGCATTTACTTACAACTTGATGGTTGGAAATCCTCGAACGTCAAACTCCGAGGACACACTTGAGAACCTTGTGGCATCTATCTTGCCGACCCGGATCGGCGTGCTCCTGAGTTCGCGGAACACCTGGTGGAAGATGGGCTCCAGCTTCTTGCAGTGACCACACCACGGGGCATAGAACTGAAATACAGCTTGTAGGATTAACAATGTCCATAAGTGCAAGAGATTTGTTTCACACTGCTTTGAATATTGCTTCAGTCATATCACATCTCAGGATGCAGATCTAAGATTTTATCACTTGAAATCCATGAGCATGGGTAAGTTATAGTCAAGCCTAGAATTATGACCAGTTTGAAAATCTGTGGTTTATATTCAGGACTATAGGTTTCAGGCGCCTGAAGGGCAAACACAACGCAGCAATTAGTTGTGTCGCAGATCAGTGGGTGATATACATTCATTGATGATGCTGATTCAAGATCTCATATTAAGCCAATAAATGTATACAAAATGCTGAAATTCAATGGATCCATAAAACTGCATTCATTCAAATACAATGAAAATACATATATTGTGTACAGTGAGTTTCATACCTCCACCAACCAGAATCCCTCTTTCCTCTGCTCTAAGAATCTGAAATGTCAATTGTAAATAATATTGATATCAGAATACATAATATATATACATACATATGATACAACATTGTCCCTATTTCCTCTATGCCACCTACAGCCAGTACTAATCAATGCCTTCAAATATTGATACAACAAACAAGCGAATACTTTTAGCGTACCTTTACAAATCAGCACCACAACAATTTCTATGAGAACAATCTCTGTTGTAAAAGCTGGTAAGTCACAAGTTACAGAGACAAGTAACCGGTTTTTGTGAAAATCCATCTGAATTGAACTTGCAAACTTCAGAATGGGTAGTCATGAACAAAAGAGGAAGAAGTGGTGACAGACATATGCTCAGATTACAGGGTGCCATTGTGTTGTCTGACTTCAGTCTACAGACATTTGTCACAGTAGTAACAATGCCATTTGGCCCATTCCACAAATGGAAAGTAGATCCTGGCATCAGAGCTCATGACTACGTGTGAATAACAGGATATACACTATCTCGGACACTTTACGGATAGCATGGATTGCAGAAACGAAAAGGAGGAAGGCTTTGATCCTTGATTCTAATATATTTTTGTGTGTGATGACAAAATGCAAGTGAAACTACACAAAAATGAAAAGAATATCCTGACAAGTGCATTTATTTGCATGCTTTGATGCTTCAGCTTCAGTGCTTTACAATTCATTGAGAAGGGGATAAACCCCTCAGATATCAAATTTTGTCATCACAAACCTAACTCATTCATTGCAACAGAGGTCCTATTAGTTCAGATCTGCAACGGTTGAATTGGAACAGCATCCACAATAAATACCCACATTGCTTGCAGAAATGTTAGATCATCGAGGGTGTTTTGACCGTGTATAATGCAACAAGATTTCACTTTTGATGACAAAGGGAACTGTGATATGTTTGTAAACTTAATAGAGCTATATTCTAAGTGCTGTCGGCTTTCTGACATGACATGGCCAAAGAAGAAAACAACATGCATGTGATGGACAAGAGCAGACTACCGGTCAATAGCACTGTTTAGTACTGATTAGATCTATATTGATCGTGTTTGATTATAGAGATTTATTACCTTCTGAGCAATGAATCCAATGACTACTAATGGCATGACACTACTATTTGAAACTTCTATTCGTGACACTGTCGATTACTGACAACCACGCCCATCTTTTCATCGGCTGCTATCATTCTCACTTACCTGTCATCCAACTCTAGCTGTGCCGTACAAGCTGACACCAGAGCTACAAAATGAAAATGAAATGCAGGTTTATAAGCGCTTAATATTGATTTAAATCACATAGGCACAACATTAAGTTAAAACTGAGCAAAAATATTACCCAAAACAACGACCAAATTTTCTGCCATGGGAGCCGCCATGTTTCAACATAACAGTGCTGCACAAAATATATAGAAAAATTGTGATTAGATAAAAAGATACGTCACAGTTGAAGATGTCGCAAATTTATATTTTCTTGTACTTAAAATTGTTGTTAAATGGTGCGTACAAACTGTCATATATATGCTGTAATACGGTATGTCAAGAAGAATATTTTCGAACTTTGAGGAATTCACTGCTGTTCTAAACATCAAGCATGGCTACCTTGAAGGATACGGTGAGAGATTCTTTTGTAAAATCGTAGTGTTTCATTTAAACGAATATCTGCCTCTAAGATGTTGTTGTCATATTGCATTTAAGTATTGTTAAGGTAAAAAATCCCACACACCGACACAGCTATTTTCCTAAATGAGCCCACAATCGTGGTGATAGAATCGTACTCGTTGAATTTTTTACCCTAACAACGATACGCTGAAAGTAATTTACGATCATCATGATCATTGCGAAAGATACATAGCCATTCTAGTTGTAAATATATGTCTTCAGATAATAAGACATACTCCAGATCAGTTCTAGTACTCAAACATACTAAGAAGGGAAGGGTTATTGACAACTTGGTCATGTTGATAACCATAACTTATGGCGTAAGTGTACAATGCCGTCCGGTAATTCCGCGCACATAAGCACATCGATCGCAACACGGCAACTAACGTCTCTTATATTTTTGGGTTTACGTGACTAAACATGCTGGTATGCATCATATTTACCTAGAAACATAAGTTTTTTTTTTTGACGACTATAAGATTCTAACGTTGCATTATGCCATACGGTTCACCCAACACTAGGCGTTCTGACGACATCGCTTACTGTCCAGTAATTCTGTGCAGCAACTGATGCGCATAACATCCAGCTGCAGATCCGAAGTATGGAGGCGTATTAGGGCCAGATTATTTTTAAAAATCACTTCATCAATGTAAGGAAGAGTGTTTCATATTAAATCCAATTATGAATAATGAAGAAAAAGTCTTAAAAGTCTGAAGAAAATGAATTTTCATAAAACTGTCAAACAATAACATATTATGCTTATTTACTTACCTTTAGTGATGAAAAGCCAGTCCCTTGTAGAAATGTCCTGATTTCAAGCGTAAATGTGGTAGCAGACGATGTTTACCTTCGATACGAAGTACGCTATTGCAGCTGCGCAGGATTACCGGATGCCCGGAATTACCGGACTCGCTTGATATAGGACCGCATTGCGGCTGTCGGCTAACTCTTTAACTCTTTCCATTCGAAGGACGAGATATCACGTCTGAGGGGTCACAACCCTTCAATACGAGACTACCGTATATGACCATCTATAAGCCGAATTTTGAGGACCAAATAAAGCAGTCTGTAGAAGGGGGTCGTCTTATCCATGGGTAATGCTTTCGTCAAACTTTTTTTTCCAGGGGTAAGAAAACAACATCGTATCACTTCGCGTGAACAAACAACAGAAGACGACTTAGTCAGTAGAGATGTCAAATTTGCAATTAAACATCACTAGACAAGATTATTTACCTTTTAAGTTATAAGTTGTTTTTGCTGGGCATTGTATTATTTGCAGGGATTAAGATTACCGTGTGTATTTGAGTCGGAAATAGCAATCAGCTGTGCACATGTTCCCCGGCGATCAAGTTCAAACATGCACAGTAATATAACGGGACGAATTCTGACGCAGTTGTCAGTAAAATATAATACAGAATACTATTATTTAACCCAAAGAAATATATCCTAGCATTGTGTAATTTTAGTTACAGTTTTTGCTCTATAAATTAATTAAGATTAAGATTACTGTGTGTATTTGAGCCGGAAATAGCAATCAGCTGTGCACATGTTTCCCGGCGATCAAGTTCAAACATGCACAATAATATAACGGGACTAATTCTGACGAGTCGCCAGTAAAATATAATACAGAATACTATTATTTAACCCAAAGAAATATATCCTAGCATTGTGTAATTTTAGTTACAGTTTTTATGCAAAATATATATAATCAACACTAAGGTTATACGGACCCTCATGAACGTGGTAAGCAGAAGTTGTACGCACATGGAATGGGGTAAAATACGGAAGCCATTTAAATTCACACATTTTTACCGATGTAACTGTAAACTAGCAGTCAATGGAAAACGAGGCGGTAATCAGTTCGTGATTGTTGAATGGGGTAAAATAAGCAAGCCAGTTTGTTGCTACAATAAATATGATATTTAGAGAAGCAAAATATATTATGCATTTTCTGTCAACTACACTTCGTTTCGATCCGTGAGTAGACACGGTAATCAGTTCGTGATTGTTGAATAAGGTAAAATAAGCAAGCCAGTTTGTTGACATGTGATCGTTCAACTACAATAAGTATGATATTTAGCGAAACAAAATATATTATTCATTTTCTGTCAACTACACTTCATTTCGATGCGTGAGTGGACGCAATATGATTGAGAATTCTTTGAATAATGTGGGCCAAAGTTATAATTATTGGTAACTGCCAGTTGTCTGTAGTCTGTGTTTGCCGTGATTAGGACCCCATCGCGGGGGATCGACTTATGCACGAAACATACCATTTTGACACTGATTTTAAGGGTCAAGTTTGGGGGTCGTCTTATCCATGGGGTCGTCTTATAGACGGTCATATACGGTATATTTAGCAACATGACACTTACATGCTTGCAACGGTTGACATAGACCATTCATGACTAACATAACATCAAAATCCATATAAACTGACATGTTTTCCAAACATCTGTATTCACTTTCATTAAACTATTCAGGCCAAAGATAAAAAAATTAGGTCGTCTTTAGCACAGAAACATTGGAAATGCAGGGTTTTTTTCTAAAAGGAGAAACAATTGAACTTATACATGAGTGTGGTAATTGTGACAATTTCTTTCAATCCAGTGACTACACTACGGTGGAAGAACAACCACATTTACTGATTTAGTAGATTTATGTCATCACTTAGAATTATAGGGTCATGACATTCAATCCAAAGAACGATGAAACGAGTGTTACCTGAGGTAACAACTATAAGAACAGTCAAAAGTCAAAGAACATTGCTAACAATCAAACGTCAAACGTTGTAACAGCTACTCTCATCATCACAAATGGCAGATACAAAACGATAGCCACAAATTGCATTTGAAGGACGAGTATACACGGCTAGAAAACAGTAAAATATGTTTAGTATGAGTAAACGAGTTATCACGTCCCTCGTATGGAAACACTGTAAAAAATCCAACATCATATCTCGTCCATCGAATTCAGAGGCTACAGCTGGAAAAATCTCGTCGTATGCAAGGGTTGTACATGACTGGACATAATACACGTCCTTAGGATATATGTGCAGCTGTGAAAATTTTTCATCGTATGAAAAGAGTTAATAACTTTTGGTAGATTCGTTTACCAACCGGTTCACCATTATAGCTACCTATATGTTGTGTGTGACTGGGTAGGCAACAAAGGTAAACCAGTTTGCAAAATGGCCAACTTATTTGTCTTTCAACATGTTTAATCTGTTGAAAAGTCTCCCAATGCAATAAAAGGGGTTCTAAACACATGCTCCTTCAAAATTAGTAACAGGGAATGTTCCTTGTGTTGACCTGTGTCATTTTCACCCACATCAAAAATATTCTATTTTAAATACATGACATGCATTTGATGATGCATTTTCATGACAAAGATGTTATGTTTTTCAAGGAGTCAGATGCTCAAGTGACATTTGAAGATCAACAAAAGATCAACAAGTTTGCCAGGCATAATGCAAAACTGCAAGATATAAAGGAAGAACTTACAACGAAAAAGGTAAAACAGCATCAGCTCCAAGAAGTTCTGATTCAGTATAATTTCCTCAGTCAGTCAGTGTTTTGTATTGATAATGTGACATTGTTACATTTTAAGTAAAATAAAAATAAAAAATAAACTTAATGTTAGTAATGATATACGTTGCAAGCTAAAATAATTGATTTCATGCATTTGCATGTTGTCAGATATAAAGTGATTATCATATTTGTATCATGTTCAGTTAAATGTAATACAGCTGTTGCTGGTTTTGCAGAAAGATCTTCAAAATCTTGAGGATGCAGCTGATGAACTGATACTTCAAGATGGAGAAGATGGTGCAATTCCATATCCTTAAAAATATCATTTTATGTTGGCTGGTGTTCACACAAACAGATAGCCACTGAACCTTAAATGAGATAAGAGCATGTTATGTCTGGACTGCCTCCAGTTGACATAATGTCATGCACCGCCATATAGCTGGAATATTGCTGAGTGTGGCGTAAACCTAAACTCACTCACTCACTCATAATGTCGTGAATGTTTAAAAAAACAAAACAGCACTCAGTGAGGCTAATTGTGTCACCATACACAGTCAGCATTGGGTGTTTCCCTGACAATCAGCGACTGGGCAAGAGGCAAGAATTGATCATTGAATAAGGTCCAATATGTGTAGTATTCTGGGTTTATGTACTGCATTAGACTGACGTTTAGTTGCAGAAATAAAGTTGTTCTATTTAAACATATGTATCTAGTAAAATAAATTAAACATGCATAGGAGCCCTGAACAATTCTTACTTTAGAGATGAGGCAATCTAGACTTGCCCAATCATTTTAGAGTTAGACTTGAGTTGGACTCCTTTTTTAATTTATTTTCTGGCATCTCAGAAACAGACTAATACTGCATAAGTTTCTACTTCTGTTGTGTCACCCCATAGGAATCCATATCAGTCAAAGTCTCCTCAGAATACAATATAAACTTCCCCACTCTCACTATCCCCGTTCCCTTCAGCATCTGTGTACCTATTTAGTTAAATAATCTTGATTCAGATTCAAGTGAGCCTCTTGTATATAAATGTTGAAGTGATTAAATGTGAAGATACTAAAATGTTAGTGTGTGTTAAGGTGCTCAGCAACTTCTGATGGTTTGTTTATTATGTCAACCACTGTAATTGTCTTATCCAGATTTGATCAAATTCAGGCTGCTGTGATATAGCTGAAATATTGCTGAGTGCAGCATTAATATTAAAATCCCTTATCATATGAGCTATGAAAAAAGCCTTAACAATCCTACATACCAGATTGGAGAAGTATTTGTGAGCTCAACTGTTGACGAAGCCAATGAGATGATTGAGAAAGCCAAGGAAAGTACCCAGAAGGCCATAGAGGAACTGGAAGAGAGAGCAGAGACACACAAGAAAGTTCTTTCCGATTTAAAAGTGCAACTTTATGCTAAGTTTGGAAACAATATTAATTTAGAGGCAGAGGATGACTGAGTCATCATGGACATTATGAAATCAGATATTTATATCACTGTACATGACAATAATTTGCCTCAGTGAATTATTGTAAGTTTGAACCACTGTCCTTTCTCAGACTACAACAGCTTTAAAATCGGTTTGCAGTATGAGATATAAGGTGTTCAAAATATCTTATTACCACCCATCATCGTGTTTGTATTGTGTAATATCTTGTTTGTCTGTGTCATAATGGTTAAACAAGATTAAACAAGAACCTCCACAGGGTTGTTTGCTTTGGTTTTTTCTAGCAGGTGTTTTTATCATCACTTGATTCTTTTGACCAGCGGGTACGGTGAGGTAGCATAGTGGTTGAAGTGTTCACAATCACTCATCATGCTGAAGACACGGGTTCGATTCCCAACAGCCATGATGTTGCTGGAATATTGCTAAAAGCGGCGTAAAACCAAACTCTGTCAGTCAGTCGATTCCCAACTTGAGTACAATATGTGAAGCCCATTTCTGGTGTCCCCTGCCGTGATATTGCTGGAATATTGCTAAAAACAGCATAAAACCATACTCACTCACTCACTCACTCTTGACCAGCACACCAGGAGACCAGTGATAGTCTGTACACAAAGTTGACTCCAAGGTTTTTACACCCGGTCACAGGTTGGCTCGATCCAGGCACCTCATGCCCACTGGATCACTAGCCTGGCGCCTTAGCCAGCTCACCCACCACCCTCACTCTTTCGCCCAGCAATGTGTGTTCTATTAAGGTACAACACCTGTGTGAAGCAGTGTTGTAGAATCAGGGTTAAAGGTTATACTAGTATGTGATAATGCTACTGGTCTGGTATGTTGGGCTTTGTACCAACCATGGCTGAACAGGGATTGAGAACATAGTATGTTTGTGCAAAGTTTAAACTCTATACAATAAACTGTTCACAGTTGAAGTTACAGTATTCTTTGCTTTGTGCTCGGCATTAATGGGTACAGCAAGGACTGGTCGGCTCGGAGTCAGTATAATGTGTCTAAGCATGGTATTCATGCTTCACTGCGGCATGGTATCTCAGTGGGCTAGCCCTATAAAACCAGCTTAAGTCTGGGCTAGTACAAGCAGCTGCACATACACATACACACGCATGCACGTCCTCATATGAGCGAAATATTCTCAAGCACGACGTAAACCCAATTTCACCTCACCTCTGGTGTCCCCCGCCATGATGTTGCTGGAATATTGCTAAAAGCGGTGGAAAACCAAACTCACTCACTCACTCACTCTTTTTGTTCAGGCTGATATGGGATTGGTCCATTATTCCCTTGCATTTACTCCTTGCAGTGATCCAATCTAATCTAGCATTGTCTAAAGGGTAATTTTATACTCTGTTGCACAAACCAAGAACGACTGCACACTGCACTGAGGATGTGACTTAAGTTTCTTGTGTAAGGTTGCCCTCTATAATATCCAAACAATGTGACTTGTTGAAACACTGTTCAGAATGGTATGTTCACTGTAATTCAAGTTGCCTCCCTTGGCACAGCCGAAACCTATGATTATGGGTTCCGTGCAGATTGTTCCTTGGCCACTTTCATTTTTTTGGGCCTAAAAATGTATGTATTCTCATGCAACGTGTGTTTAGCAACGGTTATACAGTCACGTACTCAACCCATTGCTTCAGTATCAGACACCAATATGATTCGAACATTTGACTTCCATTTTACATGATTTCGTTCCAGTTCTTGACTAAGGATCATGTGTCATTACTACCCTATATTCACTGGGCATGGGTGAATCAGTTGCAGGAAACGTGATGATGGGTTCGAATCCCGGCTCTCTGTTCAAGGTTTGTCAGCAGGGGTTTCATCAAAGTATGCGTCCTGATGTAACTGAAACACTGTCAAAAGTAGCATCCACCCGTGAAGGTCCAGGTTAGAATTGGTCTTCAGTAGCCCATGCTTGTTGTAAGAAGCGACTAAGGGGTGGTCAGGCTTGCTGACTTGGTTGACACATGTCATTGTATCCCAAATGCATAGATTGATGTTCATGTTGTTGATCACTGGATTGTCTGGTCCAGATCTGATTATTTACAGGCCCGGGCAATATAGCTGGAATATTGCTGCGTGTGCGTAAAACTACACTCACTCACTCATACTCACTCACTCACTCAAAACAAGACCAGAAAGCGACAACATTGCTAGATTGATACAAACACAATGGCAGAAGAAGGGGTTCATCACCGACAACATACATTTCTTGGGTCAACCAGTGACTGATCCAGACTGCAACGTAAGAATCTGTATGCTGTTTTACAAGATAATGACGTCATTTGTTGAATAAACGTAATTATTTTCAAGGTGTAATTCAATAATGTAAACCAACAACGACGACATTGAATTATTCCATTTATCGCATTTACTAGGGACCTGGATCTACTTGCACTAGACAACACATTATTTTATACTATAAAGGAAGCTAAATGTTGACCGATACCATTAGACAGTAAGCCCCAAAGTAACACTTTCCCTATATACGGTGAAAGGAATACTACTGTTCTGCAGGACTCTAATGTTGTAGTTGTTATTTCAGACGTGAAAAAAGAAAACGTGCCAAATATAACGCGAAAACGTAAGCTTCCTTTTGGTGAGGTGGTGAAAACGTATATGGCGAAAACGCCAGTCACCAGCGATGGTGACAACTAGCAACATTTTTAATCTTTCTTGGTATGACCAAGGCGAAAATCGAACATCGGATTTCCCCTTCTCCGAACAAATACTCTGTCCACTAGACCACCGACTGTGTGTTCGTTCAGTGACGAACTTTAAAACACAGTTTGTTGTTGACATAGCGCTATGTACAATGCTACTGTTTATAATTGTTTGTCAGTGGTAACAGCGAGTGAGTCGGGTTCAACGCCGCCATTGACAGTATTTCAGTGTTGATGGCTCGTTAGTCTGACCCTGCGTCTTACAGCTTTTGTTCACATACGCACACGCGCGCGCGCGCGCACACACACACACAAAACAGACTCAAGGCGAACGTTGGATTTCAACCTTCGATCGCCGAGTTCTCAAAAATCAGATACCTGAGTCAAAGATGTTTTGGATATCAGCTCCTATATTTTGTTAAGGCCACATAAAATAAATTTCTTGGTTCTCATCACTTCCTTTTTTTAAAATGTGTAGGTAGGGCGGATTATATTTTTTAATACTCTTTTCCCGATTTTCTATGCAATGTTAGTCGAAAACTTGGAATGCCGTAAGCTGAGACGGATTTCGGAAGTCTGTCGGTTTTATGCACGCAAAAAATGAATAAAAAATTAGGGTCGGGACCAAATTTTAGGGTCGGGCGGTAATGAGAAACAATAAATTATGTTTATGTGGCCTAACAGCAAGGAGCAACAGTTTCAGGAAAAAGAAGTAACTCCGAAGACGTTGTGTTAACCAAAATTTAGAAGTTGATATCCATGCAAAAATCTTTCATTCATGTTCATCACTTCCAAATGCCCGTCAAAGAACTCGTCAGAACTGGGCCACGGATGCTCCCGCCAAGGACGCCAATCCCAGAAGCATCAATGACTATGAAACGGGTTGTACTTTTGAAATACTTTTAATATCCTTCAGTATGCTTAATACAAACATGCATGCATTATTAGCCATTCCAATGCAGAATTTAGCTTAAGGATGGGCTACCCATGGCTGTCTTCATCTCATTCAGAAATGTAACTACTGGACCCGACCTTGCTGTAGGGGTTGAAGGGAAAGGTCAAGGTCACCGCTTTTGCGAACTGACTGCTGTTTGCAAACCGTCTCTTCATCAGTTCTTCTCGTGGAATCTCCCTATGAAAGGAAAGAAAGACAATCAGAACCAGTATGTCGTTAATACAGAGTGATGTACATATACTCTGCAAACAAAAAAAGAAACGCAAAAGTATAAAAATTGGAAATATGTGACGGAGTTTTACTGATATTCATACAAAAAGGAAACCAGAAATGAAATTTTGTTTATGTTTGCATGTATCGGTAGTGACATGTATGGCGAAAGAATACCGAAAACACGGGAAACGCAAAAACGCTTGGCGGCCAAACACAGCAACATGGCATGAATGTGCAACATGCATCGTCAGGATGTGAAAACGATGAGTTTTCATGTGTCTATCATCACAATTGTAAAGCAGGTAAAATGTGAAAACATGCCACGACTGACAGAAGCACAACGCAACAACGCCATCGGCCAACTACAGGCAGGCGACTCGGCTTCGGCCGTAGCCAGGTATTTCCACGTAAGTCAGGTGTAAGTCAGGCGATGGAACCGTTATCAGACGCATTTGATGCAAGGGAAACAACTTATGTCATGGATGAGGGTGTTCACTGGTAATCACTGCATGGTTTCTGTTGGGGATTGGTGGGGGAGTGTCACTAAGACTGGTAGCAGTCTCCAGAGGAGGATCATGAAAACAACGTGCAATGAAATGGTGAAGGTCATCCACAAATATCTACTGTGATAAATCTTACGGCCTCTTAAGCCTCGTTATGTAGACGATGTTCGTGATGCCAAACTTGTTCAAAGGTTATGGACTTTCTTAAGGATTTGTTTCGACACCACCAGTGTTATTAACAGATTCGGCCGGGTGTTGTGGATCAAGCACACGCGACAACAAGTACATGTATACCTGTAGGTTGCCTTCATTGTGCTAACCATGCTGGGATTGGGTGCTTGCTTAGTCACGTGATCAGCTGGCGGCACCCGAGGAACGTATCCGGCATAGCCCGGGCAATGGCGGACACTGCAAGAAAGGATTCAACGTCACAATCTTTATCCATTGTTAACTTATATAAATGTTAAATGTATATTTGAATATATTTTATTAAATCACAACAACATATCGAACCCGAGTCTTCGGCGTGACGAGCGAACTCTTTAACCACTAGGCTACCCCACCGCCCCATATATACTGAGGGAGAAAATATGGGATCACATGAAAGCTTTCCTTTATTTTTTTCCAGGTTTCTTCACAAGTTGTGCGATACAAAGCTTGTGATGAAACCTGGGGAAAAATAAAGGAACACTTGTGCTTTCATGTGATCCCTTATATTTTCCCCCTCAGTATATATATGCGTGTGTGTGGCACGGCTTCTTCAACATGGGATCATCATGCAGGGCTTTCTGAACATGAGATATTGATACTTGAGCACCCACTTAGTGGTTGGATTTAACGCTGTATAAATTTTCAGTATTATTTTATTACTGAAACAAATACATGAAACTAAAACAAACTATTATCTCTTTCATCTTCCTCATTGCTTCATTTACTAATATCAACATTAAACCCTAATGATACATTACATTCTTTATGCATCATTTGTTAATGAACGTTTAATGACACGTTAATGCTTTATTAAAGTTTGATACAACCGGGTCCTGGCCATTACAGGTGTGCTACATCTACTCAGTCATCACTATAGATATCTGCACACTAATGTAGTTCTATCCATACCTTCCATGTGAACATGACCCCGAGATCTAATGGCAGTGACAAATCAGAAGCGAATCTGGCCGCGGTCCAAAATCGATATTCGACTTTCTATTGATACCAACTGCTTTTGTTGCATGTTATCTGACCATTTTCAAGGTTGGGCGAGACTGTTTTAGCCTTGCTTTCGATTTGACCTGAGGTCAAGCATATTGGCTAAGACTGGTCTATGAGTGGGAGAGTTTAGTTTAGTTCTACGCCGCACTCAGCAATATTCCAGCTACATGGCGGCGGTCTGTAAATAATGAAGTCTGGACCAGGGAACCGATGACATGACTGTGTCAACCAAGTCAGCGAGCCTGACCACCCGAGATTGGTCTATGACGTTACCAGGGACTATCTACACCCTCAATACCCTAAACAAACAATCCTTTCTAACAATTTGAGCATGTATTGTAGGTGAACGATTTGTTATAATTAATTTAAAACATCGTAAAAATTCAACTGTAGATATATATAGTGAATGACATTCATTACTTACAAGACTGAGGCAATCTGATCCTGTTGCACCAGGTTCCTGATTTTTTCTGAATCACGTGGGTTGGCAGCTTCCTTGCCCCTGTAACATGTATAGTTTCTATATACGAAAGAATTCTGTAACTTGAATAAATTCAATATTCTTTCTTCCAACAAATGCATTTATCTATAATCGGTCCATGACCTACGTTGAGCATATCTTCTGGGCATACATGTGAAGATGAAAAAATCTTACAAAAGATTACGACACTACAGAATGTTATTTGTATTAATGTCAATGTTTATAATTAATAAAGCTACGAAAATACTTCTTTGATTGGCATTCTAGAAAATAGTTTCTATAATCATAAGAACTATATGAAAAGAGATATATTCTTGACTCCGACTGTAAAACGAGAATGTGTTTAAGAATCGCAATGAAACAGTTGGTGGTGAAAAGTTTAGCGTGTCTTGTCCGGCCGATGGCACAGGTCACTGACACTGACAGTTCTGTGGACTGGGGAATTCAGATGGATTGGCACGGTATGTTTCTTTACTATAGGTGTCCTGAGACGCACTTCTCTTTGGTGTTCTGCATGTCCCCTATCCACATAGCACTATGCCATTCGTAAGCTTATGATGGAGTTACGATAGGTTGTAACGTTACGAACGAACCCAGTTCCTTACACCTTCAGCCGGGCCATAGCAGAGGCCGAAAGGCAACAGGCGATGGACATCGCGCATTGTCATGCATCTTAATTACTATGGCGTGAGTACATACATATAGACAATACAAAAGTTATTTTCAGCAAATAAGTACTAAACCACCAGGGAAACGAAACTCGTCACTTGTAAATGAAGTTTTATCGTAATCAGGGACGTTGCGATAAGTTTGAACGTTATGAGAAAACATAAGCCCCCAAACTATACCTGTGCACACTTTTCACGGGAGCCTTTGAATTTTGTGCAGTTATGAAAAAATCGGGGAAAATAGAATATGGGACAACTGTTGAAAATGCAGGTGCATGATTGTTGCAAGTATGGCAGAGCAAAGATGCAGCATCAGACCGTACATCAGTGAGATGCCAAGACTCCAGAGGCAGAGCGTGACAGAGCTCTTAGTATGGCCGACATGTGGGCATTTCAACGGCAGATTGCAAGAGCCTTCAGCAACTTGCTGTGCCATCACCGACAAACACATGACCGTCCAAGATCGGGAAGTCCAAGGGTCACATCGCCAGCTGAAGACCGCAATATCTGAACAATCCACCTGTGGAACCAATTCGTGACGGTGACGTCAACGGCACTGGGATACCACCTGAACAGACGGACAGTCTTACGACGATTCCGCATGGATGGTATCAGAGCCTACTGACCCATTTCGTGGCGTGGCTTTGACCTATACCGTCAACACATTTTACAATGAGCAGGAACTCAAAGTCGGCGGCGGCAGCGTGAATGGGAAAAGATGCTGTTTACGGTTGAAATCTGTTCCAATATGATGGCGGACTTCGTGTTTACCAACGAAGAGGAGAACGATTGGTATCTATAACTGCATCCAAGTTGTGCACCCGTTTGGCGGAGGCGGTGTTCATGAGTGGGGCGGAAGTTGTGGCCAGCAGAGAACGAGGTTAGTTATCATCCGTGGAAATCTAACTGGCCAAAGATGCAGGAGTGAAATCTTTCAAACCTGTTGTAGTGCCATTTTTACGCCGACTGCCAATGGTGCCCTTTCGCAGCAGGACAATGCACGATCTCATAAAACCAGAATATCTGAACAACGGTAACGTCAAGGTACTGCCTTGGCCAGTACGTTTCCAGGCAAGAATCCCATACAACATCTCTGTGATCATCCTGATCGACAGTTGAGACACCGCCTCTCAAACCAAACAGACAGTTTAAATAGGCTTCATTGGATGAGTGGCGCAGAATTCCCGATGACATCATTCGGCAACTGTCGAGGATGTATGAGGAGACGCATATATTGATGCAGGAGGGTGTCTCACAGTCGCTGAACAACAGTATTTTCCCTATATTCTCTGCGGTGCTAGATTTCCTCAGGTTCTGAATCTCTGGTCTCCCTGGGTCTCGTTTTCAATTGAATGGGCTTGTTTGTTACTATCAAAATTATATATATTCAGAGACTAAGCATTAGTATAGGGAGTGCTCACACACGGTACTAAGGGCATGTCTTGTCACTTGACTTTGGAATCACCGTTTGTAGGGATCTTTGACTGACGTTTGTGCCCTTGTTTTCAACCCAAGTGCCTTTCCGCTCGGCCATTTGGCAAGAGTACAGTAAATTCCATCAACAATGCAATAAAGCTCGACGGCGGGATAGAATATATTATAGGCTTTTTGGCAACACATGTCTTCGTTTGACATAAAAAAAACCCAAAATGTCTGTATATCAGATAAAAAACAAATACCATTTGTAAAACATTAAACTCAGATCCAAATATATACTATACACATGAAGATCCGGGTCAGAATGGGTCTTCAGTAACCCAAGCTTGTCGTAAGAGGTGACTAACGGGATCGGGTGGTCAGGCTTGCTGACTTGGGTCGACAAGGATGTACACAACCATCCTTCTCCGGGGTGTAATAAATAAAGTATGCGTAAAATACATTGCAGTTCAGGTCACGACATGCAGTTGTAAATATCACCGAGGTTGTATCGTACATACAATGGCTTGCTTGTCAACATACCTCCTTTTCGGCAGTTTCTTGTCATCGGATGTGTCATAAGGGTAGACAACTCTCTCCACAGGCTGTCGCAGCTGGTAACGATCGAATAGTTCCGCTTGTTGCCACATCCGAGGCTGGTCATCGTAACGCTGGACGTCAAATCTGACCATGTCCGCGCGCTTCTCGAGCGTCTTAGCACGCGTGTCTTTCTGAAATATCCAAGTTATGTATGGAGCTATATATTTTTTCAAAATATAGAGTGCAGACTGTCATATGATTCGCAGATCTTGCGTGAGAAGGGTTGTAACTGATGATCATATTGCTTATGTCAACGTCAGATTACCATGTTTATATGTAGGTTTGGTATGGAATTTAGTATGCAGAACCAACTATAACTTTACACACACCGTTGATTGTTTATATCGTCTATACATGTATCTACAATCTACCCGTGATGATCCGGGTAAGAATCGGTCTTCATCAACCCTTGCTTGTCGCAAGAGGCGACTAACGGGTGGTCAGGATCGCTGACATGGTTGACACATGCATGTCATCGAATCCCAAATGCGTAGATCGATGTTCATGCTTTTGATCACTTCATTGTCTGGTCCAAATTCTATTATTTACAGACCGCCGCCATATAGATTGAAATATTGATGATTTCGGCGTTAAACGACAAACAAACAAATCACATGTACCTGTCCCTTAGTTCAGGAAACACTATAATCGCGACTGGTACTCTGAATCGACATGGACCAAGTATTTCTAATTTAGGTCCCAGTTGCACATAGCAACCCTAGCATCTCTATGTTTAAAGTCTGGGAGCTATTGCGTTGTTTTTGCTGAAGTCGCTTTGTGCAAGTTGGCCCTGATCGTACGAGAACAAGAGCAGGCCAATAGCGGATGATCGTGGATTGACGACACAGGCACACTGCACGTTCTCCGTTTCCCGTTGCATGGTGGATACGTCGATAACCATCGAAGTTATAAAAAAGTGAGAGTCAGTGTTTAGAGTCTGTTTGGGTCAAGATGAAACCGATGAATCACAATTTAACTCCAAATCGGTTCATGATCAAACATTCATTTAAACGCAGAATGTAATGAAAACATCGGACCAACTCTGGAAAAAAGTTTGTCTCCAAATAATAAAGTTACTTAACAATTTATCATCATTTTGATTGATTTTTCGTGTGAGGTTTTACGAGGGTAAAGTAACAGTTGTACTGTTGCAGGAACAGCCTCAAGGGCGGGAAGCACTGTGCGTGCTAAGGATGTCAACATTTAGGGGTTGTATCAAAACTGCTCCGGACTGGAATCTGAGGAAATTCCTGATTCACTTTCTCTACTCTCAGATTGTCCACTCATGATGACTGGTTGAATGGTGGCATTAATCAAACCACAGTTTATCCAGTACTGATTCTCTATTTCAGTTTGTGCCAAGCAGATTGTGAGTGAGTTTAGTTTTACGCCACACACAGCAATATTCCAGCTATATGGCGGCGATCTGTAAATAGTCGAGTCTGGACCAGACAATACAGTGATCAACATCATCGCATGTTTACGCATTTGGGATACGATGACATGTGTCAACCAGGTCAGCGAGCCTGACCACCCAATCCCGTTAGTCGCCTCTGACGACAAACAGGGGTTGCCGAAGACCGATTCTATCCCGGATCTTCACGGGTTGTCACGTATTGTGACGTCAGCACCTTAAGATCCCTACACTTTCTACCCTTGGAACCAGGGCCCACTTGCACAAAGCGATCTCAGCCCTACGACTACCTCAAGTCAATGTAGAGTATGGGAGATACGATCATCGTGTTACTAAGATGCAAGCGGGTCCAGTTAATAATGCTATGCCCATCCACTCTTTCACGTTTGGCTTATTTTTGGATCGGGTAGTCAAGATGAGAGACGAATTCATTGAGTGGCATTTTAGAAGTTGGGAAGAACAATGTTGACAAACTTTATGGATAACAAATTCTTATTTCGTGACTGCGAACTTTTCGATACAGATTCTTGTACCTTTGTTATTCAGGAATGCTCGAAACGTCGCACTCACGAAATAAAGAGATGAGAGACTTCATCTCATTGCCGTCATCGCTTGCAGGCTCACTACTTACGGACCGACGTTAAAATGCGAGAATATTGCTGAATGTTTCGTAAAACAAAAACTAACAAATTAACACTCGAGTTATACAAGCTGACGTCATCTATATACATACATATACACATTATCAAAACATAACTGGGCTAAAAACAGTCCCCTAAACACTGCAAACTTTAGGTCCGAAATACAACTGTAACACCGGCATCAGATACATCACAATCGAATAACCATTTTCGCTTCATATCAAGCCACCATCAAGCACGGTGTATACCTGATTTGGCATCAGTGTACATCAGGCATAGGAACATGAAACGTCTTTGTGCTGGAATATCCAAGCGTGCGTAAAACAACAAACAAAATGTACCTACTTGAGACATGGGAAGGTGCGCCTCCTCTGTTGCCACCAAGGTGGTCGGGGTCCATTTGAGCTTGTGGGCCAGCTGCTCCACCTCGTTCACGTCCATGAGGCCGAACTTGGTGACCAGCACGCGCGGCTTGGCGCTCTCAGACTTTGCCAGGCGAGGCAGTCTGGAAGCTGAACGTGACTGGGTGACAGTCTTCTTGTCTTTGGGGACATATCTGACAACACGAAGCAAGAACACATATTACTGTTCTTAGTCTTTATATATATGACAAACAGACTTGTCTCAAATGTCAAGGATGATGATGAGCATGTGGTTGATGGTGGTGTTAATGTGAAGGAAGATCATTAATGATGACGACAATTATATTGATGGGGCTGGTACGGCTGAAGGTTGTGGATGATGATGATGATGATGAATACGGGATTCGAACCCGTGGCTATAGGATTCTTGCTCGCCTAGGGAACAACACTCTACACAGCAAATTAGACGATTTGGAGGACGGTGGGAGTAATACAGTCAAGATGATGGAAGGATAACGGAGGGGGTGACGATGCGGACGACGGAACTACTTAAAATAGTGGTTGCCATGGTAAACAGAAATGACAATTTTTATGCTACCTATTTCACTCTGCACGGCAACGTTACAGCCGTGTGACGGCGGTCTGTAAGTAATGGAATCCGGACGGAACAATCCAATGATTGACATCATGAACATCGATCTTTGCAATACGTATACGATGACCCACAATCAACAAAGTCCCCGAACTTGACCACCCTATCCATTTAGTCGCCTCTTACAACCGACATTATAAGGTTCACATCCCCACGTTTCCTTATGATAGTACCAACCATTGAAAACAGTGTATGTGGAGTAGCCTCGTGGTTAAAGCGTTCACTCGTCATGCCGTTAACCCGGGTTCGATTCAAGACATGAGTACAATGATTTAAACCCATTTCTGGTGTCCACCGCCGTGATATTGCTGGAATATTGCTAAAAGCGGCGTAAAACTAAACTCACTCATTAAAAGCAAAGTAGTTAAGGATCCACTGTCAGAAGAGTCTTACCTTGCAAACAGCACCGAGCTCGGTGGCCCTGGCACCTTCTTGACGCTCGGCCTCCACTGGTTTGTGGACTTCTCCCTCCCAGGCTGGTACATGGGCAGCGTGGTCATCCTGACTGCCGGCACGAATCGGTCCACCCGGTAGTCCTTTTGGTATGTCGTGGTGGACACGGGGTCCGTGTGACACGCCATTTTCTTCTCACTGCCTTGGAATTTACGCCGCTCTGTTCAACACATCCATCTCACTAAGACGACAGACTGGAATGTCATGTTGTCGATGAGGGTGAATGATTGTGACGTCATATGTCTATGACGTCACGATATACTGTGGCTACCTCGCTACTTCATGGTAGCTTGGCTGAACGCTCAGTGATTTCGTATTTTTTAACATTGCAAATTTCGGAATCATCATGTTCCAATCATCCCATTAAGAACAAAACAGCAGACCTTCCAAACCCATGAGAGAAAGAAAACCTTGATATGCCGGGGTCTATGGGCCGTTGGCCCCGACGGGATCCAAGGTGGATCCTAAAGGGGTGTTAATGGGAGGCGAAGCCCCCTGCAAGCCAACGCATAATTGCAAATCCCCATGTCAGAAATGTCACTAAAACGATGCATTCAGACCCATTTGTGTGATTTTGTTATTTATATTTTCAGTTTGGTGTGACATTTATCAGTTTTGTCGTGAGAGCGTGACGCGAGTAGTAAAAGCCTGAGTCTCAAGCCAAAGGCAGATATTTGGATAAGTTCTGATTTGCCAAGAAGGCGAAGCGAATTTGAAAACGTCATATATCTTTTCAAATCCGCGCAAAGAAATGATGTTCATGTCATGTACCTAGCATTCAAGTTCCTCACTTGTGCATCTGCAAACTCTGTGTGTGTGTGTGCGTGCGTGCGTGCGTGCGTACGTGTGTGCGAAGTGATCACGGTTTGAATGCCATTCCCTACTGTAGCAGCCGTAAAATGAGCGGTTCGTCAGGTGAAGGCACTTCAAAGTGTCCAACTTCTGCATATCACACTGTGCTTTGAACAACATTTGCCATTTCTAGTGGTTTCACTAGGAATGATCATCATACATCCCTGTCCCGTTTAAAACAAAGCTCAACAAATGTAGCAGCAATCCCGACGGATGCTACTGACGTAACACGCTTCTCTCCTCTCTATTTACTGAAGTGAAAAAATATAAACTTTCGGGGAAAAACATTTTATCGTCTTGTTCAATAAATCAATAAATCATGGTTATCGTAAAGTTCCGGGGTCCAAGCTCATGTTCTATAAGGAACACTAATTGTATTACATCTGCGGCTCCAGGCTAGACTAACGTTTAGACTGTAAAATATAAATAAATTTCTTTAAAAACTCAACTCCATATAAACTGAAAAGTTCTCTCACTAAGATGAACGTGTGGAAAATCTAGATTTTAAAATTCAGATTCTAAAGCATAAGAGTAAGAACTGGGTTAAAGGAAAATAGTATGACTCAAGGACCGTGAGACAGACTAGCCTCTAGATAGAAACCGGATATCCAAGGGCACAGTGCCCATACACGCGAATAATGACATGACCTACATCAGCGTATTGAAAGTCGATGCAAGGATAAGATTTGATATGGGTATTAATATCCTTGTAATTTGATGAGCAGGAGGCCATTCATTCAATTATAAAATCAATCCTGTTTTCACAAAACTGAAGTCATAATCTCCAGTCTTGTGGATTCATCCTGTTACAGATTCTATCGATCACCCTTCAAATTCCTCAAACGTTAGAAACTTAAAGATAAAATAATTTAATATTCAACGATTATATCAACATGTCATTTCAGTTTGGTGTATGGCTTTAACAACGCAGTAATAAGGCTATGTATACACACTACTTGAGTGTATAGCACTATATAGGCACATTGACGCTAAAGAGGAACTATTTATAGTCCACGCTTAGTGCCCAATTCCTGTCTAGCTCATGACCACACAAGGAATGTAAAACTGACATCATCTCTGTATACTTAGGGTAGCAGAGCATTTTATAATTTATTTGAAAAGCATCATAAAAGTCAAAGCAAATAAGCAAGATAGAGATTTGAATTGCTTTCTAATTCACTATGACATGGCCATCTAAAGGGTTACGATAACATGCACCCGCAACTGACCACCCGATCCCGTTTGTCACGCCTTATGATAAACATGGATTTGTAAAGACCAGATGAGTGGGAGTGATTCTGGGTGAAATAATGTTATTTTACACCGCAGTGAAGTATCTGGCTTCTACCAGACAAGTCAGTGACTGAGAATTTGATCAACGACCCATGCTTTCAAATCATTAGAAGTCTGATCAACCGATACCCATTGAACAGGTTCTGATACAAGTGTCCAGTTCTGACTGGTGAGTATTGTTTTACGCCACTTTTAGCAATATTCCAGCAATATCACGGCGGGGTCACCAGAAAAGGGCTGCACACGTTTTACCCATGTGGGGAATCGAACCCGGGTCTTCGGCGTGACGAGCGAACGCTTTAACCACTAGGCTACCCCACCTCCCCTGTCCGGTTCTGAGGGTCTGTTATAACCACGAATTGACTCATGATCCGTACTACATTTTTTTTTAAAATGTCCAGCTGGAAATAGTTTTTATTCATGAAAACAAACAAGGATCATTTGGAGTTGGATTTTTTCAATAAGTCGTCTTTGCTGTTGCTTGTTTACAATAAACAAACGAGTTTGTTGATAAGCTGTTGTTTCACGCCGCACTCATCTATAATCAAGTATGGACCAGACAATCCAGTGATCAACACCATAAGCATCGATCTACGCAAATTTGCATACGATGACATGTATCCACCAAGTCAGCGAGCCTGACCACCCGATCCCGTTAGTCGCCACTTTTGACAAACATGGGTTACTGAAGATCAATTCTAACCTGGATCTTCAGGGGTTTGTTAACACACAGGATATGTTGACTGTCGCCATAGCCTTTGTGTCTGGTAACGTGAGTACATTTCCGCATACAAATCATTTACATCGTTCTTTAAAGTGTAAGTCTACAATAGCTCGAGAAAAGACATGATTAAATAGCATACGTAAAAGTGTATAATACATAAAACTAGGGCTTGTATCGAACTGGAAGGGACCACAAATTATAGCTGGTGGTAATTGTAGTTGGTTTTAAACATTACGACTAAATATAGAGAAAATGGCCGGAACAGTTCGTTATATCCGAAAGTTCGTTAATGTGAGTGTTCGCTATTAACGTAGTTACTGTATATAGAGATTGTTCTTATCTATCACATGGCTGTTCGTCACAGTATATTGCAAAGTTCAACATTATATTTGTGTTGCAGTATTGCAGCTGACAGTTGTAACAATGTAGATTTAAACGTGTGATAAAATCAGTTAACCCATAGGAAGCAGTATTTTCTTAAGTTCGCTCGATACATTTCGTTGGAGTTACTTCCCTTACACCGTTTTCTTCACGTGTTTGCACGAGTGAAACTCTTGAGCCTAAATAAGGTCAATTCCCGGCGTGATTAATGTTCCTGCCATGAAATAGGAACAAAGGGAAGTAACTGGTTTGGTGTTGTAAACATCATTTGTTGTCGAGAAGCAGGAAATCTCATACACGTTGACAGATCGCGTCGTTTTGTTGTAGATCTGAACTATGGAGGGAAGAAATCTTTATATTGAAATCTCACAACTCATATAACGACTCCACAATATATTTCATCTACACCTATTTTCAAAAGTGATCTAAGTAATGTTTTAGACAGAAACGACGCTCTGCTGTTAGTGAACGTGAGTCAGTGCCTTTCTGCAAGTGTCAAGTTGGATTTAGTACACACCTATTCGTTCAACTATGGCATCCGTGAGATTTACAGTGACGAAAGCTGACGAAGATGAGCCATTGAGTAATGATGTGCAGGGATATGGAACCAATATTCAAGTTCCGGGAAACGGTAAGAACTTAGTACCATGAATCTGTCCACCACACTGAAGAAGGCATGGGTTGGACTCATCGTGTAGGCCATGTTTATACCAGCTCCTGCCTAAATGTGGCTATTTATAACCATCTCGTTATTTTTAAACTGTTTTCATTTTCATGAAATCATGTGGTTATTAGTTTTCATTCGATGTGAACTTTTATAATTTGCTACTTAGTGTATCTCAGCTGTGATTATTTGACCGACTCACAAGTGAATTGTCGATCAAGTTATTGTCGTCTTTTACAGGTATTCATGTGTTTAAAAGTTGTTATTACCATGTAAATATAGCATTGTTTACTTTACTATGTAACACATTCATTACTGAATGATTGGAGTGATATTTCACAGATATATCACTGGCAGTCGTTTATAACTGACCTCAGTGTGAGGTCAATTTACGTGTGCTTTCCTTTTTAGGAAAGTTGCACAATATTTGAACAGGTTTGAGTATAAAGAAACTGTACTGGCAACCACTACAAAGTTATAAATATGCCCCACCTTTATAAGATACCTTTTGAGCTTGAGTTCAGACACCACATATGTAACTTCATGACCCCTGTGACCAGCACACAGCAGGTCCTATTGTGGCCAGCTGTTTGATGCTGTGAGCATGGTCAGTGCATGGTATAAATAATATATCACACGCTTGTTAACTTTAGAACCACAGGGGTGGGCTTTACAGCCACAAGTGTAATTAAGTGTTTATCGTCTCTTTATAAAGTGTTTGAGTTGGTAATTATACATTAATCATGTTAATGATTTGAGACTATTAATTCATTTCAACCTGAAGTTGAAAATGAAATACTTTTTAAATCTAATTTGCATAATTATTTTACATTATTTGATATTAGCAGTGTCTGCCATCATGTCAGGAATATTCCTGAATGCAGTGTAACTTGACAACTAAAACAATAGCAGATGTTTGTAGTCAGCCTTCCTGTCAATATCTTTATATTATGACATCATTGCAAGGAGTGTATTGTGTGTTTTCTGTCCTGTTAACAGTTGTCACGTTTATTAGAAATATGTCTTTTCTTTATGAAGGTATTTGTAATGAATATAGTTTATTGTATATGAGGGGTGGTGGGTTAGCCTAGTGGTTAAAGAGTTCGCTCAACACGCCGAAGACCAGGGTTCGATTCCCAACATGGGTATAATGTGTGAAGCCCATTTCTGGTGTCCCCCACCATGATGTTGCTGGAATATTGCTAAAAGAGGCATAAAACTAAACTCACTCACTCACTATTGTACATGAGAGGAGCTTTAATCAGGCCAGTTATTTCTGTCAAGTTAGAACAGCAGGTCTTTTGAATTCC